TTCCCCTTAGTACACACTTGTTTCCTTTGTTGTTTTACTGACCCCCTTTAAATTCTCAGAAGCTCTTCCAGGCCCGGCACTGGTCTGGAACCACCACTGGGCCGTGGCCCATAACTAAGCTGTGATGGCGGGGGCCTGGCTCACCTGGTGAGCTGAAGGGAGAGGGAGTCAGGCCTCAGTGCAGACCCAAGGGATCAGGCAGGCCACTGTACCGTGGGCACTGTGGACACACCGCTATAGTTTGTCCGCCAGAGGGTCATGTGCTCTGAAAGCTTGGTCCCTGCTGTGGTGATGTTAGTATGGTAGAACTTTTAAGAGATGATGTTGGGCTGGGGATGTAGCTGAGCAGCACAAGCGCCTGCCTGGCAAATGCAAGGTCCTGAGTTCAATTTCCACTACGAGAGAGAGAGAGAGAGAGAGAGAGAGAGAGAGAGAGAGAGAGAGAGAGATGATGTCTGTGGGTGTGATGGTGCACACCTGAAATCCCAGCAGTATGGGAGGCTGAGGCAGGAGGATCACATGTGTGACTCCATCTTGTGAAATTTAGTGAGTTAATAGCACCTTGTCTCGATAAATAAACAAACAAACAAATAAAAGGGCTGTGGATGCAGCTTAGTGTGAAGGCCCTGGGTTCAATCTCCAGTACTAAAAATGAAGAAATAGAGCCTAGTGGAAGGTAATCAGGTCACGAGGGCCCAGATCTCACAGATTCATGCTGTCGCACGGGAGTGGGTCAGGTTTTCTAAAACTGGTTTGCACTTTTTTTCTGCTCCAGAAAGCCACACACTCAGTCTAGTGAGGCCAGTGCCTCCTCCTTTCTTGTTGCCTTTTGGATTTTATGTGTGGTTGGATTCAGAAGCAGCTACTTCTCTGGGACTTGCCCAGGTCCCTAATCCCTCATCTCTGCTCCCTCCAGCCCTCCACCCCCTCTGTCCTTGCAAGTGGCCAGCAAACATTCAGCAATTTGCAGTAACCTCCCCTCTGCGCAGGTCACCTTGAATGGTATACCCAAACCCAGACCTTCCTCCCCAACTCAGCCCAACTAATTTTCTGATGGTCCTCTGCACCCCAAGTTGTGTTCAGCCCCTCAAAGCCACATCTAATTCTCCTTTCCTGTAACTAGTTGTTTGTCCTTACATCCCTACTGTGGCTAATTGCACCATCCTTTTGCAGTTACGGAGACACAAATCCTCCTAGACACTGAAACTCCCCACTTCTAATCAGCTGTCAGATCTGGTAGATTCCATTCCTTGGAAGGAGTTGCACACGGATGTAGTACAGAGGGGTGGTTTCCATGGAGAGAGGAGTCCTGGTTCCTCTGTGTAATGTCATGAAACCTTCAAGCAATTGTTTAATAACCTCATTGGAATATAATGTCCCCATCTGTCAGATGGAAATAATAATCGGACCTCCACCACACGGGTGTCACTCGCTCCAGTGCCTCAGTTGGAAGTGTTTACTATTTCTAGTGATTTCACCTCAAAACTTTTAATTCCCATTATGGCCTCCAATTTCATTCCCATCACAAGCATGCTAGCTCCTATCTTTAGTGAATTAATTCTTTGCTTCCTGATTGTCACCCCCCACCACCACCACTGTTGTTCTCTCTACCGTGCTAGATAGAGGACAGATGAAACCCAGCTTTGGTCACCATTACTTCTCTCCACCACGACCCGACCCATCTGCCACCAGACTAGCCACTGGTGAGCCTCTTTTCACCTGCTCTGTCTCTCTTCTAACGTGCTTGCTAAACTCTTGCCACATCTGCCCTGGCCAGGTCCCTGACAAAAATACCTCCCACACTTCAGTGCATCCCCAGGGCTTGTCAGAAATGCAAAACCTTGATCTGTATCCCAGACACACAGGTTCTGAGTCTGCATTTCACCAGATTCTATTAAAATGCAAGAAGCCCTTTCTTCAAGGTCTCCCCAGCCCCAGCCTTTCTCCTTTACAGCTGCTTTGTGCTGCCCTCTTCCCTTTGCTTATCCTGCCCTTGTCTGATGCCCCACCCCACGTCTCAGCCTCCTGAGGCCCTGGTGCCCTAAGCTCCCTTTGCCTGGAATACTCTTCCCACCATCTCCCTGCTCACTCCTGGTCAGTTCTTTCAGATTCCAGCTCAAATGTCACTCAAAGAAAGCCTCCTTGATTCCTGAGCACCTGGGCCTTACTATTTAGTTTATGTAATACTTTCTGCTTTTCCTTCAGAGCACTTAATGAAAATGCAATTCTTTATTTGTGCAACTACTCAGTGAACTTACAGTTTTCTTCCTTGACCGCAACTCAATAAAGACAGACCCTCTGAATGAAATACATTTTGTTTACTTTTGTATTCTTCACACCTTAGTAAAATCCCTGCAGTACCATAAGACTCAAGAAAATACATCCCTTGCCACCTTTGCTCATTCATTCAACAAGTATTTATTGTGAATCTACTATGTTCCAGGCATTATGCTAGATATATATTAAAGAGCAAAACCAGAGAGCATATCAACCATCACAGTACAGTGTAATGGGACTACCGGACAAATAATTACAAATAAATGGAATACTGCAGCTGAGGCAAATACTTATGAACAACCAGAGAGATTTTCTATCTGCTGCTACCTAATATAAAAACATACAGTTCAACAGGCAGTTTTCTTTTTAAAGCAGATTTATTGATATAGTTTACATACTATATAATTCAGTCATCAAATTGTACATATCCATGGATATTAGTACATTCTCAGGTTGTCCAACCATCTCCACACATTTCAGAATGTTTTCATTGCTCCAAAAAGCAGCCTCACTCATCCTGGCGGTCACCCACATCCTCCCCAGCCCTAGGCTTTCTGTCTCTATGGACTGGCCTATTTTGGACACTTTATATGAATGGAATCATACAAATATGTGCTTATTCTTGTGACAAGCTCCTTTCATTTAGCATAATTTATCCAAAGCTTATACAATGTGGAGCATATGTCAGTACTTCATTTCTTTTTATCACTGAATAGTATTCTATTATAGTGCGTATTTTTTTTTAGCACAACTTTTTCTTTTAGTACCTTTTTTTTTAAGGCACAGGATGTTGGTCTACTTTTTTCTCTCCAGCCAAACAAATTCAGTTTGTCATGTTTCCAGAAAAAGGTGACAGTAAGTAAATGTTGGCTGAGCTTTGGGAGGGTGGTGGCCGTGTTTAGAAAGCTGCTTTTCATGAGTAATTTTATTCACTCAGTTCTCTTAGTCTATTTAGTATTTCTGACTCACAAACGGAAGTGATTCTATTTTGGCATTCTTTCTTTCTCCTGCTTGGTCTCTACTGACTTGCTGTGTTAAATTATGCAAGTTACTTAAACTCTGTTTATTTAACTCCTGCCTGCTCTGTAAAATAAGCCCAGCCCGGTTTGCATGTTTGCCAAAGCTGCTTGGAGATAATTTTTCATATGATATGGATCATCAGCTCCCACAGAAGGCAAAAGGAATTCGATGTGTGGGGGTAGTCTGGGATCCAGTCCAAAATTAGTGTTCGTCTGGAAGAAATATGGAAGCCTGATGCTCGCTTGCTGGCCTTTTAGTCGTTTTCACTTACTGCCTTCCTTCTAAGGAACTTTATAAATCTCTCTTTTGCATTTTATTCTATATAGGATAAACTTAAAAAGATTGCGAGGGAAAGTCTTCTGATACCCTCTATTAGCCAACTGTGAATCAAAGAGAGTATTTTGACCTAGTTATGTGACCTGGGGAAGGACTAGCCATAGCATTCAGGATTTGTCCTTCTGTTTGTCTCCGTCTTTTGCCTGGAGACTGGCCTTTCTAGGCCCCAGTTTGCGATGTAAAATCTAGCTAGATTTAGATTATCATTCGTCTACCTATGCAGTACACTTTGCTTTCAAATGCTAGTCTAAAGGAGAGCTCTGGTGTGGTACCTAAGGCCCCATGAGTAGGTGCCAAGAGGGAAAAAGAGCAGCTAAGTGGGGCCACAGAAACGGTTACCTAAAGAGTCGTTTGAGCTATGTCTTAGAGGATGGTCAGAGGAGATAGCTAGGTCGGGAGTGGCCGGTAACCGCTCCCAACGGACTTCTTTGGAGTGGGTAAGTGCACAGCCCAGGTCTCTGGTGTGTGAAAAAAACCTGTGAAAAAATCAACCTGAACAGGAGCGATGCAGCCTTGAACACTATTCTAGGGACTCTACTTTTGATTATTTAGGTGAAGATCTCCGGCAACGTGCATCTCAAAACCAAACTTGAGGACAATTAACCCGACCGGAGGATGGAGGATGGATTGGCAAAAGGGAGGCTGGGAGGCTAACCAAGGGGGAAGGATAACAGTCCAATCGAGGGAGAGGCAATGGAAAGGAGGTGACGGATGTGTGCGACCGGCTCTGATGCCTAGGTGTGGGAAGGCTGGGGGTGGTGGCCCCTAGTCAAGAACTCCCTCTCGGGGCGGGGACTGGGAGGAGCCAAGGCTACAGTCGCACCATCCAGTGACGCCAGGTGATCGGCAGGGATCTCTGATTGGTTGTCCCTGCTGCCAGTCCCGGGAAGGGGCGGCCCTGCCCCGCCCACTCGGGGGTCCGAGTGAGAACCCGGAGCGCAGGGAGCCGGGGCCAGGCGCCGAGGGGACTTCGGGGCCCGCAGTAGAGGTAGGCAGGTGGGAAGGGCATGGAGCGGAGGGGCGGCCCCGCATCTCTACCGCCCCGGGAGCCCCTGCTGTCGGGGGTGCGCCCGCGGGACCCTCGCCGGCCGAGGACGCGGGCGCGGCCAGCACCTCCTCGCGTCCCCGCGGTCGCCAGGCGGCGGGGTCTGGGGGTCGCGGCGCGGTGGGAGGGGTGGGGCTGGCGGAGGCCCCACGTCCCCACGTCCCCGCGGCTCCTGTGACGTTCTGCGTGAAGCCCCGGGCCCGGCGCCGGGGAGCGCTAGGTGCTGGGCACCCCCGGGCAGCCCGGGTCCCCGACCCCCGCGTCCTCCAGTCCCCAAGGCCCCGCACGGTCGGGGATGCTGCGGCACGGCCGGCTTGTGCGGAGCCCCACCGTGATCTGCGGGGCGCAACTGCTGCAAAGTTTGCAGAGCCGTCTGCTACACCTCGAGTTGTCGGAACATCAGCGTGCCCTGAGGTGACCTGCCCGAGCTGCGCGGTGCCTGCAGGTTGCGGACCGCTCTGTAAAAGAGCGTTTTAGCCACGCACCGAGCGCTGTGGGAAGTCAAGTGGAACGGTTTGCTCCGCAGACGCGCCGCTGCTGAGCTACCTGCAGGTCGCTGCTTTCTTTGTGAAAACTGGAGTCTTTGCAAGCCTGGACTGCACAGCAATGTATGTTCCCCAGAGTGCAGTCAGGAGCAGGCCGTTCTGGGCAGTGCTCCCCAAGGGCAAGCGTGGCCAGAGTGGGTGAGATGGTGGTGGTAAGGTTCCTTAAACAAGGCTTTCTCGGTCTGGTTTAAAAACACTTACTGCCTCAGCCGCGAAAACACAGTTACCTGGCGGTCCGGTTAGTTTGTTCTTTAAGCGGTGACAATTTAAGAATATGAGAGACTAACCCTGAACTTCAACCGGGTAGACCTAAGTAGATGGATTCTTTCACTTCTTTTTCTTTCCTTTTTGGGATTTGGAAGAGAAACAGGAAGTCAGAAACTGAGAAAAAAAAAGAGCAATCACTCCACAATTGTAAACAGTTTATTTTGTGTCATAAATATTTCCAAAAGTTATTCGAGGTATTTGAAAAACCATGGCATCTCGGTTCGCTGCAGAGAAGGTAGATCACTGTCAAATTCGAAATTCTAGCTGTATTTATTTAGAAATTGATTAAAGCTCCCCAAGTTGTAGAGCACTACAATGTCAGGGGGGAATGGAAACGGATGGTGAGCAGTGTGCAAAGTTAAAATTCTTGACTACTCAAGATGGTGCCCTAACAGAACAGTTACTTTAAACCTGTTAGCTAGCAGAACTTAGAGAAGGAAACAAGGAAATCAGGTATATAAACCTCGGTAGGGACTATAGTCCCACACTGCAGTTGTGAATTCTTTTATTATAACCCAGCTAATAGAGACTGCAGATGTTAAACGCTGATTTCATAATGTTCTGAAGGCTTTACTTGTTCACTATAAAATGCACAATTAGCGTAACTAAAGAAATAAGTAGGTGTATCTAATTTTGAGCTTGTGTCATGTCTATAACAAAGTACTCTAGCTAAGATATGTGTATTATACTTTTCATGTTCGAGGTTATTTGATCATATCTGAGTTAATGGTGACATTTTTGGCACGGGTAACCACACATAATGGATCATTAAATCTGTGTACGTGGCTAGCAGACCACATTCTATTGTATTAGTATGTATCCATTTAAACGGCTACTTTTTCTTTACTCATTTGTAAATATATGCTGTTTTTGTTGGGGTTTAAGGTACTTACAAACCTTAAAATTTACCCTTTTAATGTCTAGTTTCATTATTTGTAGTATATTTGCAGGTACTCTTAAAGTATTTGATCCAGTGATTTTTAGCATACCCTCAGCCATCACCACTAATTCCAGAATATTTTCTTCATCCCTGAAAGAAACCCCATGTCCATTGGAAGTCAGTCCTCGCCGTCTGTCTGCCTCCCCTGTCTTTGCAGAACAAGGCATAGACCCCAGAGCTGCTGGACTGAGCTATATCCTCAGGCCTTTTTGCCCTTATTATTATTATTATTTTTTTTTAATTTGGACAGAAGGTCTCGCTAAAGTGCCCAGGCAGGGCTCAGACTTGTGATCTTCCTGCCTCAACCTCCAGAGTGATGGGATTACCAACATTTGCCACTATTTCTAGCTTTGCTCTCTCCTTAAAACCCCTGGAAACCACTAAATTGTTTTGTTTCTTTTTGGATTAGCCCATTTTGGACCTTTTATATAAACAGAATCATATAATATGTCTGGGTTCTTTGGCTTGCAATAATGTTTTCAAAGTTTGTATACTGTTGTAGTATGTAGTAGTACCTTATTTTTTACGGTTGAATAATGTTCTGTTTATGGATATATCACATTATTACCCATTGTTTACCCATTCATCTGATAGTAGACACTTAGAATATTTCCTCTTTTTTGGCTGTTGTGGATAATGGTGCTATGAACCTTTGTATACAAATTTTGCTCTGGACAATGTATTCAATTCCCTTGCATGTATACTTAGTATTGGCTTTTCTGGGGCCTACAGTAACTTTATGTTTATACTTTTGAGGAACTGTTAAACTGTTCATATAGCAGCTCCAACATTTTTACAGTACCACTAGCAATGTATCAGGGTTCCAATTTCCCCACATTCTTACCAACACTTGTTAGTATATGTTTTTCCTTTTTATTATATTCATCTTGTGTGATATGAGAGTGGAATGTCATTATGACTTTGATGTTTCACTTTCCTTATAGATAATGATGTTGGACACCTTTTCATGTGATTATTTGCCATTCCTTTGTCTTCTTTGGTGAAGTGTCTACTTAGATACTTTGCCCACTTACTGATTGTCTTTTTTATTGATTGAATTTTATGAGTTCTTTACATATGCTGGATACAAATCCCTTATCAAATACATGATTTGCAAATGTTAGGTTGTTTTTATACTTTCTTTACAGTGTCTTTTTTTTTTAGACAGCATCTCGTGATATAGTTCAGGTTGGCCTTTAACTCACTATGTAGCCCAGCTTGTCCTCACAGTCGTGACTATCATCCTGCCTCTGCCTCCTGAGTGCTGGAGTTACTTGGCATGTGCCGCCACACCTAGCTTTGTTATGTGGTATGAGGGAAGATCCAGAATACTTTCACTTGCATGGGGGCATCCAGGTGATGCCCTGCATCATTTGTTGAAAATACAGTTCTTTTCCCCATTGAGTTGTCTTGGTACCCTTGCCAGAAACCGATTGTAAATGTGAAGTTTTGTTTCTAGACTGAACATTAGTCCATTGATTTATGTGTCTATTCTTATGCAGATATCCTTATATTTGAGTACTGTGCCTGTGTAGCAAGTTTAGATATTTGAACATGTGAATCCTCAAACTTTTCAGGATTGCTTTGACTACTCTGGGTGCTTTGAATTTGCAGGTGAATTGTAGGGTGAACTTGTCAATTTCTGCAAAATATTCTGGGAGAATTTTTGTCATGATTGATTGTTTACCCATTTGGAAATATTGTCTTCCCATTCATAATATGCAATTTCTTCCATTTATTTAGATCCTTAATCTTTTTCAATTCAGTTTGCGACATTTCACAGTACAAGTTTTGCACTTGTTCTTGTTAAATTTATTCCTAAGTGTCTTGTTTATTTTGATGCTATTGTAAATGGAATATATTAATTTGGGGGTTTTCCTTGCTAGTGTATAGAACAACTGAGTTTCATGTACTGATCTGGTTTCCTGAAAGCGTGCAAAACTCGATAGATCTCATGTCCTTTTGTGGATTCTTTAGAATTTTTTATACATGATGATTTCATCTGCAAGTAGAAATAGTTTTTACTTCCTATCCAATCTGGATGCTTTTTCATTTTCTTGCCTTGGCTAGAATCTCTAGTATAATATTGAATAAAATAGTAAGAGCAGACATCCTTATCTTGTTCCTGAATTTAGTGCAAAAATTGTAAGTTAGGGGTTTGGCTTTTTGTAGATGTCCTTTATCAGGTTGAGAAAATTCTCTGACATTGCTAATGTATTGAATGTTTTTATTATGAAGGGGTATTGGGTTTTGTCAAATTTGTGTATGCATGTGTGTGTGTGTGTGTGTGTGTGTGCGCGTATGGTTGAAATGACCAGTGGTTTTTGTCCTTTTTTCTATTAATATGGTGCATTACTGGGGTTTATTTTCATTAGTTGAAAAATATGTATTCTTTATATTATTTTCAAAATTGTAGCTCAGAGGTGGAGCACTTGCTTAGCATGTGCCCAGTCCTGGATTTGATCCCCAGCTCTGTAAACAAAATAAAGCAACAAAACAAAACAAAACAACCTGTAGACATTTTACACTAGTACATAAACAAGCTATTCAAAATGTAGAACAAAGTTTAATCAACATGAAATAGACTTCTTGTTGCTTAGGATACACAGATGTCCTTACATTTTTGTGCAGTTATATGAATGACTCAAGAACTAAGGATATCTGTTTGATGATGAGTTTTTATTTTCTAATATTTTATCCATATTTTTCCTTCCCTCTAAGGCTAATAGTTAGATAAATGAAGTAGCAGTGGAATGGGGAAAAAGTTTACGACTGACAAGCTGCTTTATCTATTCTTAAATCATTGATAGTAAATGGCAATGTGAATAATTAATAGAAAATGCTAATATGGGAAATCAGAAGGGCCATGAGAAAGGCTAATAACCATAAACAAAAAGAAAATACTCAGAAAACAGTAGGATAAAGATTCTGTAAAAACAAAGAAACAAAGACATTAAATTTTAGCCCTACAATTTTAAGTTTCCCTTAAACTATGGCTAGGAGTTAGGGGCGTCTGGAAGCTGGTTAGGGTATTTTTCATAAAAATTATAGCCTTTGTGAGACAATTCAGCTTATTTATTTCTAAATTATTATGAGATTGTGTCAGTGTAGTATTAATGTGAGAACTGAACGATAATGTTTATCCTCGGAAAATAATCTTTTTCTGAGTTTTAGTAGTATGTGGTTTTAAAAAATTGGTATAGGTTTAGAGAGTTGGGTTGTTACACTAAATACCAGAAAAATGAACTTAGTCATATTTTCATAAAACAAAATAATAGAATAGTGCACTTTAATTGCAGTACCATTCGCAGTTCTGAGTTTTACTGTCACATGTTCTCCATGACCAGGACTTGGCTTATGCAGAAGATCTATTCCTAAAGCAAATTTTATCAGCTCATAGCAAGAGCAATTCCAAAAGGGGAGATGGCAGGGAGAGGAGAGTAAGGTGAAGTGAAAAGGTCAAGATGCAATATGTGAGCGGGGATATAGTTCAGCGGCACAAGCGCCTGCCTAGCAAGAGCAAGGTCCCAAGTTCGATTACCAGTACTAAAAAAAAAAGAGATGCAATGTGTGTACAGTATGTACCACTTCTACAGGGTGAATATATTCATTATGAATTGCAATTGTGTACTAATTTTTTTAATTATGAAGAGCAAAAAAAAAGAAAGAAATACATTACTAGTTTACTTCTTAAATTAGCCCATTAAACATTAACAAACATTTAAAACTGTTTTCATAGATCTCAGAGCCAGGAAAAATCATACTTCCAAAATCAAATAATACTGTAGAATTTCAAAACCAGTTCCCTGGCTTCTTGTCCTTTTCCTTACAGTACTTCCTCCTGAGATTAATCTTCGCCAGAAGGAAACTTAGTATCATGGAAAATACTTATTCCAGATTTGCTCAAGCATACAATTCCAAATTTCATATTTATATATTTTCTCTTACACCAATAAAAGTTATGTGAACCTGTCAGGATCATAATAAATTTTACCTAGTTAAATATGCCACAGGACTTCTGGCTGGAAAGACTTAGCCTGAACCTGCGCAAATTTAGAGTAATGCTAAGTAAAAATTACTAGTAAATTACGGCGCAGATCTAAACCATAATTGTAGCGCTTTCATGTTTCTTTAGTTTATTGTGCTATTCTTTGAACCAAGCTGTGAGACTTCTGTAAGTTTGAGTATGGTAAAATTATGAGTTGAGAGATTTAAAAAAATCATACTGTTCTGCAGTGTTAAAATAGTAATTGTATTTTGTGCTGTGCTATTTTATTCTCTGAGTTTTGTTGGAAACAGCATGTTTCATTTGTTCCCACAGCATACCTCTAAGGAAGAACGGTTGTGTACCCTCTTTTTCTGGATTGGGTAAACCGAGACCTGTAAAGTTTAAGTAGTAGCACAGAAGGGTTTTCACCCTGGTCTCCGGCTTCCCATAAGGCTCATAAACTGTAGCAAGGTCTGGAATGTAGCTTAGAATTTAAAATTTGTTTCTATATATCATTGGATGGTGACTACAATGTAAGGGTTGGGAAAGTTAATGGACTTCTTGAATACTAATGTGGTGTGCTGCTGAATGCTTTCTTCTTAGAAGAAACATGGCCGAGCTTTCTGAGCCAGAAGGACCAGTAGATTGGAAGGAACGATGCGTAGCTCTGGAGTCTCAGCTCATAAAATTTAGAGTTCAAGCAAGCAAGATAAGAGAGCTTTTAGCAGAGAAGGTAAGCTTTTGTCCCTATTCTTTGCTGTTAAGTATCACCTACATGGGGTCTGGTTCATGTGTAAATCACCTACATGGGGTCTGGTTCATGTGTATTTAAAAAATCTCAGTGTTTTGGAGGTTTAAGCATCTTTAAAACAATAGTATAATTTGCCAGTGTGGTGGCACATGCCTGTACTTTCACCACTCTGGGACGCTGAGGCGGTAGGATTGCAACTTTGAGCTCAGCCTGAGACCCTGTCTCAAAAATTTTAAAGTTTATGCATGTTTGTGCGTGTGTGGGTACATGCAAAGACCCTGGGTTCAATTTATAGTACCACCAGAAAATTAAATAATTGTATAATTCAATTTTTTGCCAAGTGTATTTGAAGCTATATTTGGCATATTCTTTCACTGGTATTAGGGAGGATTAGTCAGTAGGATGAAGAACATGTTTGCAAATGCTCGTGCAATACATGGAAGCTGCAGTTGATGTTCATTTGTTACAGAAAGAAAAACTGCAATTCATTTTATTTTAAAGAATTTAAGAGCATTTTGATCTACTAAATGTTTAAGGATATCATTTAAAAATGATTATGGAAGATAAATCCCTTGATGGTAAAATATATTTATAATGTTTCTGAAATTATGCACTATCTAGGAATTTGTATTGATTGACTATATATTACTAAACCGTCGTCTGGGCTACAGTTGTGTTTACTATAATTGCATGTGTCTGTCTTGTTTTGTTTATTTGTTTGTTTGTTTTGAGACAGTGTCTTGCTCTGTAGTTCAGGCTGGCCTTGAACTCACTATGTAGCCCAGGCTGGCCTCAAACTCATGGCGATCCTCCTTCCTCAGCCTCCTGAATGGTGAGATTACAGGCGTGCGCCACCATTCCTGGTCTTACTTCTCTTAATAGTTCTAATAATGTAATTAGAATTTTATGGCACAGGAATTTTGATTTTGCAAATATTTGTGTGAAATTAATAATTTTGTTTGTTCATTTATTCATTCAACAAATGCTGAATATTGTTGAGGGCTGGGTATGGGCCACATACGGTTTTTAATACCAGAATTACATCTGTGAATAAGACCACCCATATTTCTGATTCCAGGGAGCTTGGAGTCTAGATCTGTACTGGTTGAAACAGTAGCCAGGGGCTGGGGATTTAGCTCAGCGGCAAAGCGCCTGCCTGGCAAGCGCAAGGTCGTGAGTTCGGTTCCCGGTACCAGAGAAAAACCAAAAA